TTGTCCACTATACGTTGTGAGTTATCTTTAACAAGAGAGCGGTACTTTTTCAGAGAAGTGATTCTCTGCTCCGTCTCAAGAAGTGTGGAAGAACTTACAAAACCTGTAATGTTAAATGTGCTGGACAAAGTAATTTAAGAAGGTAACAAAGACATATTTAATAGCAGTTCTATGACAAGTATACAAAGAGTAATGACAACTTTCGTTTTTATGTGTGAACTATTGATGGCTTATTGCAAAGGTTTAAATGAAACAGTTTGTCTGAACTGTTTGGGTGTGCAGGTAAATGACCACCTGCATTTTGAAAAGGAAGGAAATGCACCAACAGCAAACCCAGCGTTTTTTAGGTGTGAGTGGCCATCAGTGTCAATAAAATGTAGCAATGCATTAACAGAAAAACCATGGAACTCTGCTCTGTAACATGCTGGTGTTTTTTTTAGTTGCCAGGTTTTCTTTGAGATACTGTTTTTGGAGTAGAGGAGTGTTTTTGAAGCATTGGCACCTATTGTTATGAGAAACAGGATATCAAATGCATTACTTTGTTTTCAAACTGCTGTTGTAACAACAATGTTAAGATTTGTAATGTATTACAAATGCCATTTTGAGGTATGCTTATATTTTCAGACTGCTATTCTTGGATCTTTTTTTTCCTAATTTCCAGATTTATGGTGGCTGTTTTTCTGAAGACAGGTGTTGGTACAGATGTATAGTGCAGCAAGTGATCAACAGTGAACAGGCAGCAACCATTTTTTTGAAGTCTTTAATTGTATATCAGTTCTACATGCAGGATGATAAAAATAAATGCAGCTCCTTATCTTTTTGAAAATTGCTGTGTGAATGCATTTATAAACAGTGAATGTATACATGGGACACAAATTCAAGTGACCTGTAATTGTGAAAAATGCTGATGAAAAGACTGGCAAAACATGATGTACATGTGAAGTGCTGTTTGTATCTCGATGAAGAGGTTCATGAGTGGTGGTTAATGTTGTTAAGCAATGTAATTGAATTTCAGAACTTGTGAGTGGTGAAAAGGCTAGTAGTTGCTATTTAAAATGACAATTTCTGAACAGGCTGGTTGGCATGGAAACATTAGATTGCATATCTGCTGATTTATATTTTATATTACTGTTGCAGTGTCAGATATTGTACATTGACTATGGAAATTCTGAGGTTCTGAATAGATCTGACATAGTTGAAATTCCACCAAACTTGCAACGTCCAAGTGTTGCCAAGAAGTACAGACTCTGGGGACTGCAGATACCAAGTGATCAGAACTTAAACATGTTTGACCAGGTGAGTAACAGATTTTGAAGCATTTAGATTGTGGGATCTGTAACAGATGCTGCCAAATACCAGCACAGTGTCACCAGGAGGAGTCTTCTAAGAGCTGGACGTTCTAAGGAGGCAGGGGTTGCTGGGAAGGACTGTCTGATCTATTGCCCTGAAACGAAAATGGTTTTGTCAAAAACGGTTCAGGTTGTGCTAGGAGGTGTTTTGTTTTGGTTTTGGTTTTTTTTTTAGAATATGCTCTTGCCGTCTTCAGAGTCTCAGGTCTATTTCTGACTGACCCATGTTCTTTCTAGTGCTGAGGAAATGAAGTACCTCTTGTTTCCCTTCAGAAGAAAAAATACCTCCTTTGGTCACAAAACCTGCCTTAAATTCACTTACGTCTTTGAGCTGCTTGAGTGCTGTGTGCCTGGCCACAGTACAAACTTTCAGTCAGGAGAGAGAATAGCATGTGAATGTGAGTGATAGTAGGAACCCTGTCATCCCTAGCCACCAGTGGACATGAAAGGCTCAGGAGGTGATGGCAGCAGGACTGCTAAAAGCTTTGAGCCTGCTTGAGTGGCCCTGATGACTGTAGGTTGAGTTTTACTAGTGGCAGCCTCCCTTTCCAGGACACCACTTGCAGTCCTAATGGCACGCTTTTTCAAGGCTTGTCCCTGGCACTGCTGTGCTTTGCTTGCTGGTGGCTTGGGAGCAGCAGTGGCAGAGGAGGAGGCAGGAAGTGGCTGTTCTGCTGCCTTGTTGTATCCCTCTGTCATTTAGAGGAGATCCTAAGACCCCTTATGTATCTTGTCCTTGTGGTCCTATTGGCATTGCTTAATGTCATTACTTGGGACAGATGAAAATCTCTGTTCTCAATTCCCTGTCAGTTTCATTTTGTTTGTGTGGGATTTCTTTTGTGTTTGTTTGTTTTAAAACAGTTGTTGTTGCTTAAGATAAAGCTTTATTTGCTTGCTCTGTGTAGCTTTCTTGCCCCCACCCCTTCTGTTCCTCCTTTTCAGCAAAACCAACTTGTTTTCAGAAGTGGTGGGGCAAAAAGAAAAAAAAACCACAACCCTGTTAATAAAGGACACCTTTCTCCCAGATGTCTTGTGAAAGTCTTGAGTGCATTCCCCAGTTTTTCAAAGCCATTTTTCTTTGATGTTACTGATGAAGCCAATAGCTGCCAGTTCTGGCATTTCCCAATTTCTAAATGAGCAGTTTCAGTAGGGTAGATTTTTCATTAGGTAGACGCACATAATATTGGCTTGGCCAAAAAGTAATTGGTTTTCTTTTATTTTTTTTTTTGTGAATAGATGGACATACATGTCTTGAAATGTAACTGACTTCATTTTAAGCTGCAAATTCATTATGTAACTTGACAGCTGACAGTTCAAACTTGTTTCAGAAAAAGAAAGTGGATGATTTTGTTAACATTTATTTGGCACTGATTTAAAAATGGAAAATCAAAAGGAACATTTTCATCATGTTTTGCTGTATTACTTCCAAAAAGGAAAGAATGCCGTACAAGCTCATAAAAAGTTGTGATGTGCATGGTGAAGATGTCTTAAAACTACATCAGTGTCAGAATTGGTTTGCTAAATTTTGGTCTGAATATTTTGATGTTAAAGATGATGTTAAAGTTGCATCATACTCAGGAAGGCCAGTTGAAGTTGATAACAACAAAATAAAGGCACTAATCAAATCAGTTGGCATTTAACAACACAAGAAATGGCTGGTAACGTATTGAAATCGAGTGTTGCAAACCATTTAAAACAACTTGGGTACATAGGAAGCTCGGTATTTGTGTACCACGTGAGCTCAAATTCATCTCGCTGGGCACGTTGACGTCGGTGGTTCTCTCTTGAAATGTGACAAAAACGATCCATTTTTGAAACGTATGATAGCAGGCAGTGAAAAATGGATTGTCTGCAACAATGACAAACAAAAAAGATCGTGGAGCAAGCATGATGAACCAGCTCAAAGCAGTTCAAAAGCAGATGTTCACCAAAGGAAGGTGATGCTGTCAGTCTGGTGGAATTTCAAAGGTATTGTGTGTTTTGTGTTGCTTCCAAGGAACCAAACCATTAATTCGGATGTGTACTGTCAACTGGATAAATTAAATGATGTCATCAAACAGAAGCATCCAGAATTGGTGACTGGCAAAGGGGTTGTGTTTCTCCACGATAACGCTAGACCACATACAAGTCTGGTCACTTGTCAAAAACTGTTGCAGCTTGGGTGGGATGTGTTACCACATCTGCCATATTTGCCAGACCTGGCACCATCAGACTACCATTTGTTTCTGTACAAAATGCCTTGAATGGTAAAGCCTTCACTGCTGATGAGGATATCAAATTGGTTTTGGAACTGTTTTTTGCTGAAAAAGAGAAGAACTTTTTTGAGCGTGGAATCGTGAAGTTGCCTGGAAGATGACAAAATGTAATTGAACAATATCTTGTTTACTGCAGTTTTTGTTTCCCATGAAAAATTCACCTTTCGTTTACCCAGAAAAAACCTGCAATTATTTTTTGGCCAACGGAATATTTCATTTGTCGCTATGTTCTATTTTGACTTCTGGACCACTTATTGAAAGGCTGTTAAACAATGTAATAATTAATATATTTTTAAAATTTTGTTTTGCATAATACTGTTAAATAGTTGGTCTAGTATCCTCTAGAAGACTTGGATAACCTGGTTGCCAACTTCTGTTGAGAGCTGATGAGACTCTGGATTTCTGTCACTTATAAATGATACTGAATTCTGCATAGCTGAACATTGAGGGAAAACTGTGTGTGTTGAAGTCCAGTCTGGCATTGATAGTGATTAGATCACATACAGTTTTAATTGTACAGTTACAGCGTTGTTTCAGAATAAATGTGTTAAACAGAAGCTTTACCTGTGCAGCTCTTTGGGTTTTGGTCTTACACATATCCTCTTTTTCTTAGAAAAAAGATGGCTAGTATTCAGAATGTTCAGTACGTGACTTCAGTGCACTTTTATTTTACAGGGGAAGAAGTTCTTGAGCAGCCTAGTCTTTGAAAAAAAAATAAAAGTACGTCACAAAGCCAAGCATGGAGATGGTATCGTTATTGCCCAGGCAGAATATGGAAAAATAGATATTGGAGAAGAGGTGGCCAAAGCAGGATTTGCTGAAAAATGCACATCTCCAGGAAACACTAAAGGTGCAGAAGAGAAAAACATTGATGGTCATGCAAAACCATTGGAAGATGACAGCTTCGGTTCCGCTGTGGGTGAACAGATCCAATTGTGTGCTGTACAACATCCCAAAGGGGCTCCTGAACCACGTAACTGCAAAGAGTCAGAATTCTGGAAACCATGTGTTTGCCCCAAAGTAAGGCACTAGGATGTCGCACATGATGTATTATATGATCTCATTAGCTTAGTTGCTAGGATGTGGGTATGTGAGAAGATGGAGGGGGAAGTGAATATCTGAAGTCTAAGCTCAATTTATGTCTTTCCAGCATCAGGTAATATGGTGTCTCAATGGAAGGGAAGTATATGTGAGTCTGTGTGTATGCGTGTTTGTGCTTGCTGTAGTGATGAGAATGAAGACTTTAATCTGGAGAAAACCTGTTCATTAGTATTGCTGCTGGTTGAATAGCTTGTTCTTCCTCATTTGGTTTCCAGAGGCAGACTGTTCTTATGTATCTTAATGCAAGATTTTTAAAAAGAAGGAAGAGGTAGTGGCTGGTAAGCAGAGAAGATACCGTAAAGCTTAGTTGAAAGCTACAGGACATCAGACCTCTATCACATTTTGCAGTGACGTTCATTTGTGCATCTGTGTAATTTCCTTCAGCTTGCCCTTGAGACTTTTTATAGCTGTCTTCTATTTACCTCTGTTAAAAAACTCACTGAACGCAAATGTGCACTGTAAAAGTACACTTATGTAGCGGAACAGACATATTTTGGTGATTTATTTGTGTGGGAATGTAGCAGTGTGTGCTTACAAGAAATAAAGCCAGCAATCACAGTTTGAAGTAAATTTTAGGGGTTAATGGTGTCTCTGCAGCTTGTAATTACACTGACAAGAGGTGGTGGTGGGTTGGCAGTTACAGTTGTTGTCAGGAGTCTTTTTAAAGAGACTTGTCCTACAGTTGCTAGGATTGCCACGGCAGCAGGCTGCTGAGAAAAAACTGTGGGTGGGAGAGATGGTACTTGGCATTCAGAAAGTTAAGATTGTGTAAGAAGTAATGTTCTCCAAAAAAACTTGTTCAGAATTTGTTAATAATGTTCTCCAAAAAAACTTCTTTAGAATTTGCTAATAATGTTCCATAATTTGAGCTCCTCGAACATTTTAATGACTCACCTGAAGGCGCTTCCTTCCACATACCAGCACGGGATCCAAATCTGTTACAATTAGATCATTTAGGCAAGTCTATGCTGCTAACAAATACTAATACAAAATGAGGTGCCCTTCAGAAAAGTCTAAATTTGCAGGAAAATGCCTCACCCTGAGTTATTTTGATACTCTGATCTGCCCTGTTTTCAGAGTTAGAGATATGCTGCGAATCTGATTAAGAAAAAAAAAATAGCTGGTTTGTTTGTGTGTTTGTTTTTTGTGGCATGCAGTATTGTGATACTTTTCTGTACGAAGCTGTCCTGGCTGTCCTGAGCAGCCAGGAGATCCTCTATTCTATTTCTCTGTGTTCTGGTGTCCTTGAACTTTTTGCACATCGCGGGCATTTTTCGGATGGTATGCCTTGAAAGGAAATAGAGAAAGAAAGAAAGAAGCTAGGATGTAACCAAAGCCGTGCAGGTGAAGATGATGTTGATGTGGGGTCTAGTGGAGCTTTGGTACTGTACAGAGGTGTCACAGTACTCTGAGACAGACAACTTCACATCACTCTTCTTCATTATAGAAATAACTTGGGTTATAGATCCAAAACACTAACCTTAAGGTGCTTTGGCTTGTTGAGTAGATAGAATATTGGAATTACAATGGACCTTGTCTTTACTGGGTCTGCAGGATGGTATCATAAGACAGTTTTTGGATGGGAAAGACTTTTGAATTAGTGTTTGTAAAAACACATAAAGGGTTGTCTTCAAATGATGTATATTTTCCCTCAGTGTTGTGTAACAGTTTTGTAAAGACAGGTGTGGAGATGGATACAAATTCTGAAGAAGTAAAGCATGATTTTGTAGGTGCTTCAGTAGTCTTTTTGATGTGTTCTGTAGTAATTACTGAAATTATAGTAGCAAGAAAGAATGTACATTGTGTTATTTCCTTTTTTTTGTTAATTAATTCCTCTTAATTGTTTTTTTAAAAGGGAAGAAATGCTAACTTCTACCTCAGTGCCAGACACCAGCTTGGCAGAAATAAAACCAGATCAGAAGCTGTCCGAAGAGAGAGAAGCTCTCAGAAGGGAAAATGTAAATCTCTTGCAGAGGCAGAAGGAGCTAGAACTGAAGGTTC